GACTATCTCGGATTAAATGATGAAAGCACCTTCGCCTACCTCGGCTCCAACGAGCCGACCGCCTACGACGACATGAGCAAGTTCATCGAGGCGGCCAACACGCTCGGCTTCACCGAACGCCAGAAGGCGGTCATCTTTGCCGTCGTCGCGGCCATTCTCCACGGCGGCAACGTCGACTTTGAGTCGCTCGACGATGAGAGCTGTCGAATTGGCGCCGATGCGGAGGCCGGGCCCTTGGCACGGTTTATTGCCCTGCTGGGCGTCAGCGGCCCCGCCTTGAAGCGGTGGCTGACGCACGAGGCGATCAAGAGCGGCGGCGCCTTTGGCGGCGGCGAGGTGATTGTGAAGCCGCTGAATGCGGCGAAGGCCGCCTACAGCCTGGAGGCGATGCTCAAGTACATGTACGAGCGACTTTTCCTGTGGATTGTCGGCCTGATCAATGTCAGCCTGGGGCCGCCTGGAGCGCTGAGTGGTAAGTGGGGGAATTTGACTCTTTTTCTTTGGTATTTAACTTCTTTTTTTCACTTTGCAGAGTACCAGTTCATCGGCGTCCTCGACATCTACGGCTTTGAGCACTTTGAGACGAACAGCTTTGAGCAGTTCTGCATCAACTACGCCAATGAGGTCCTCCAGCAGCAGTTCAACCTGCACGTCTTCAAGCTGGAGCAGGAGGAGTACGTCCGGGAGGGCATCGACTGGACCTTCATCACCTTCAACGACAACCAGACGGTGATTGACCTGATTGAGACGCGCCCGCTGGGAATCCTCTCACTGCTGGACGAGGAGTGCAAGGTACCGCGGGGCAATGACGACAACTGGTGCACCAAGCTGTACGGCAGCCTCTCGGCGAAGTACGGCGAGGTGTTTCGAAAGCCCAAATTTGGCTGGCAGCGCTCCTTTATCATTCAGCACTTTGCCGACGTCGTCACCTACTCGGTGGGCGGCTTTGTGGAGAAGAACCGCGACAAGATGGAGGACGAGGTGGTGGAGCTGCTGAAGAGCAGCGAGGTCATTGGCTGCCTTTTTGCGGAGGACCTGGGCGCTTCGGGAGCCGGAGGGGCTGGTGCTCCAGGAGCTAAAGGAGGCGCCGATGGTGGAAAGGGCAAGGGCGCCGGCGGCAAGGTGAAGATCACCCACCAGGACCAGCGAAGCTCGGCGGCGGCGGCGGCCGCTGCGGCGAAGAAGGCCCAGAAGGCCACCGTCGGCTGGCAGTTCAAGGAGAGCCTCGAGGCGCTGATGAAGATTCTCAACTCCACGGAGCCCCACTACGTCCGTTGCATCAAGCCAAACGACGTGAAGGGGGCCTTCACCTTCAACAATGAGCGGGCGGTGCAGCAGCTGCGCGCCTGCGGCGTCCTCGAGACGATTCGCATCAGCTCGAATGGCTTTCCCAGCCGCTGGAGCTACCAGGACTTTGCCAATCGGTATCGGGT